CACGAATTTATGCATCAACCCAATACATACAACGATCTTGCGTCGGTTCCTTCGCACAAGAGAAGACAGGAGGAGTTCCACGATGTTCACACCAAATAATGACGATTGACAGTTCTTCGCCTTTTTTTAAACTGCAAATATCATTTTGCAATAAGATCGATCCAACGTTAAGCATCTTAGATGCTTAACGTTGAATGCTTAACGTTAAATGACCCCATCAATGGCTGAGACAGAGTCTCAGCCATTGAAACTGCTTGAGGCACCTGTATTAATGGGACAAGGTACCAGCACGGATTTTCGAAGAATCTACCTCTAAGTGTCAACCTTGGCGCTATTCCACTTCATAGTTTATTTTTTTCACTTTCTGATGTTCATTCCCCAAGGTGAGAGGAGTACGCTTTCTTTCTACGTCCCTCAGGAGCAAAGATATATAAAAGTTTTGCATTGGATCGAAATGGCACCGTGAGTGACACCGTCCTACGGTTTCAACGATGCGACCCGTTGCACAATATCCACAGACTTCATTATATAAAAGCATCATTATTTAGCCTCGATCAGAATGGATTGCGTGCAATGCCGCACCTGATTCCCAGGAGGCAAGAACGAGGCGATCTCGTGCCACGTCATTCAATGGGCAATATGCAATCCAAGTCGGGGAATGACGGCATTGTCGGGGATTTGCAGAGAGCCCTTTCATCATGGACGCGCCTAAGCCTCTACTCGCCCACGCTAATGGACTCGAGATAAAAATAACAACGCCTGCAGGAAAAAAAAACACGATTTGTGTCTTATCCCAGGCGAATAATCTTGAACTTTTGCTTAAGAAGTGACGGTTCGAGTTGGGCTTTCATTTTAATGTTTTCCTCGTCTTTTAGGAGCTAACAGAGAAGGGAAACTAAGAAAATATGAGTGGATAGGACTTTCATGGAAGAAGAGGACCTCAATGACATCAGGAAAGACTTCTTCCAGGGCGTTTCAATAACGGCATTTCCCTCGATCAGAGTCCAGTAGCATAAAATTGAAACTAAAAAAAAAATTAATGAACGATATCATCCAAGCGAAGGAAATTCTTGGATATGTCATGGGGTGTCATTCCCATGTGGTGCAAACCCTCCGCGTTCCGAATACCGACGACTCTCGGTTTCATTCGTTTCCATGAAGCCATTACAATCCAGACAATCCCCAATTTTGGGGTATTCACTTCAATACCCCAAAAAGGTTCCATTAGCATTCACTCTAATAATGGAGCGCCGCAAGCCATTTTTTCACATGGTCATCACGAAATGCACATAGATTTTTAAACTGCGAGAATTTCGAGCGTGACTTGGTCACATTGCGAACTAAGTCGAGATGAAGGCATACGCATTGGTTTTTTTTTTGCTGAAAACCTTTTCGTTGCAAGATTTGTCGATATTCGAATGTCAAAGTTAGAATTTATAATTGTAATAATGCAAATGCCATTCACGTTGAAAGTTCTTTCCTGACAATATGGTCTTTCTCCAGGCAGCGTGTGTAGGCTTAAATGATGTCAAGCTGATGTGGTTACATTCACTATATGCATGTGGATGAGACTACAATTTCATATTGACATTACGGGATTCTATTGGATCCTCCGCCTTTCCAATAGGATCCTATCGATCCCATAAAAAACCTAATGGGGTGAATCAGGCCAAACTGGAGCAACTGCGTGTCTTCAAACTTTAAAATTCCATAACTCTGACAGTAATGAACCTATCATGACGAAATTTGAAACATTGATAAGTCATGTCAGAGCAATTCTTTCAATATATTTTGGCAGTGTTTGAAGCATTTTTCTGGGACATACCTAACAGAGAAAACTGAATTTGTCCCACCCGTAACGGGTCTTTGCCTTAGTACACTCAGAACATTCCTCTGCCAAACAAATACTTATTCTTTGATTTTTTCAAACAAATGGCACAACATTCCAAACATATTATTCATTTTCAGAATGCAGTTCAACTGCTATTAAAGGCAGTGTCTCTCTAGCTTTGCCAATGATTATAAGTGATGATTAAACAACCTTCAGTAAGGGATCAAATGCAAGTTCTTAAAAAGAGCTTTCTATTGAAAGCAAAATGTATATGATAATGCAATATTTAAAAATTAACCAAATCTGCAATGTTTGTCCACCTGTACCTTTCGTTACGGGTGGGGCAAAAGTATCGTGGATGCAGAATGACTTGAAATCTTGAGTTTCATCCCTTGGGGTGGTTACTTGCGTATATATTAATACTAACAATATAACAATCGAAACAATTTCGACCCAAGGTAACCCTTTCGATCCATGGTGACCCATTTCGACCCATTATGATCTTCCTTGAATCTCACCATTTAATAGTAGTCAGGGTTGACCAATAGAGATTCAAGGTGACCCATGGCAATCAAAAGTGACCTAATTTGGTCACTCTTTCTAAATTTTAGTAAACTTACATCGCCTTAGGAAAATGAGGCCCAAGTTGGATCAATTGGACAATATGGGTCACCATGGGTCATCTGCAGTCGCTCTGGATTAAATTTAGTCACTCTATCTCAATTTTAGCATTCTTCAGTCACCCTAGAAGTTGGGTCAATCGCCCAAGTAGGGTCCATCGAACAGTTTGGGTCGCTTTGGGTCACCTTGGATCATTTTTGGTCAACTCTGGCTACTATTAAATAGTGAGATTCACGGTAGGTCACCATTGGTCGAAATGGGTCACCATGGGTCGCTTTGTGCAACTGTGGGTCAAATGTGACACTGCTTCTATTTTTGTAAAAGTATATATCACTCTCAGATAATTAGGTCCATATTCAGTCAATTGGACAATTTAGGCAACTTTGGGTCACCCACTAAAAATCATTTTGGGCCGCTTGAACCAGACTTTGAGATTACGGGAACTCAGGAGTTTCAGAATCAACTCAGATTAGCTTGTAGGTTTCAGACAATCTAGGCTGGAAATGATCCCCATGTTATTCCCTGATTCCTGACTATTGTAACACCATGTATATATTAGATTTGTTTCAGAAGTCTGTAATGGTTTTTTTTAGTATCATCGTAATTTTTAGAAATCCAGATTTAAAATTTAAAAAGTTAAACTTACAAGACCACAAGAATGAAAATAAGGTGTCCCACCCGTAACAAAATTTGTTCACTGTCGGGACACTTATGCATCATTGTCAAATTGCCCTGCTTGTTTCCATTTATCCGCCAAATTTTATTTTAAAGAATGTGTGTCCCTGTCAAGAAAAATAGCCTTAATAATGACCATTGATTCATATCTGAATCTGCATGAGGATTGGAAGTAGGTTTCATCAAAACATTTGTCCCACCCGTAACATTTCTAAGTCAGTATTTGAAAACCGTAATAAGGTAAAATTCAGTTGTACTCATGTTTCATGCGTATATGAGACAGGAAACCCACTCCACAAGTAGCAATAAGCTGAGCTAATTCTACATGTGTCAGGAGGACTTAAAACTTCTTGTTACGGGTGGGACATTTTCGGTGTAGTTGATTACTTCAAACAGCAATAAATATAATATGAAGGGTCCTGGAGCTCAACCGCGCTAGACTTAGATGCAGGAGAACATCAGAGACAAATACAGATTGACAGAAAAGAAGAGTTTTACTGTAGAATTTTCCGTTTTTGTCTCCTTGGAATCGCTCCTTTTTGGCCTGATTCACTCAATGGATTCCTATTGACTCCCATCGGACTGACTCATCTCATAGGATTTTATACGATTCCTAGAGGGTACCCTATAGGAATTTTTCCAAAGGGAATCAAGAGGAAGATTAGTAGGTCCCTTCCCCGGTGTTTGGCACTGGTGTGCCACTCCTTGAAGTGAAAGACGCAAGTTAATGAGTTCATTTATCACCATCGGACATACTACGCAGAGACATGGCCATGAATTCTTTCCGGGGATATCTGGCGCGGCTGAAGGAGTGGGCGAGAGAGGGAGAGGGCTTGAGAGAATTAAAGAATATTTCAGAAGACCTTTCTCGCACATTCTGGGATACTCTATTTTCTCATTCTTTTACTTTACCTCTTTCTTCCCGCATCGTCTCTAAACGAGTGGAAGGATTTGTTGCACCCTCCAGATGGATGGGTGGATGCAAAGCAACAAATGTGTGAATTTGAAGTTCTCGGAAACCAAGAGTTCAGCGATGAAATTCAGAATTCGTAGATGTAGTCCCGTAAGAAGGCATATCTTTAAGTTTTGGAGTTTTGTTTTAAGTACCTCCATCGGTCTTGCCAGAAATATTTGTGCAGTCGCTATTTTGGTTGGATTCGCTGTCCCAAAAATCAACCAAAACTACGGAAAGTTGTACGGAAAAAGTTGGCGTAGACCAGCCCTGAAAAATTTTCCCAGTTTTCACAATCAAGCAACATTTTTCCTCGCCCCACCTGCCCGACGGCAGAAAATGCAGTTCCTGGACAAATAGGGCAACGTCAAGGAGTGCCTAGGGCAGGGCTTCCCAAGCTTTTTCACGCGCGACTCCAAAAATCACGATCATGCCATTCAGGACCCCAAGCACTGGCTGAAGTTCGACAGGCTCTCCCACCTATGGACTAAAATCGCAAAGAAAAACATAACTTGGCTTTTAGTTGCCGATTCACGACCCCAAATATGATCCCAAATGGGGTCGCGACCCATGGGTTGAGAAGCCCTGGCCTAGGGCATTGCGATGGCCGATATGAACTCGCACGCGGGGGAGTAGTAGATGGAAACTCGCACGAGGAGGAGGGGTTCGTTACGATAATGAGTTCAATTATAATACGTTCGACAATTAAACAAGAAACTGCTTCTTAGTCAGGAAGATTTTCATTTAGGAAAATCTTCCTGACTAAGAAGCAGTTTATCTTCTATCTTCCAATAATTTTCTATTCGAAGAAATTACAAATGGGTAGTAAATCACTACAAGATATCTCATATGCGTCAAAAACTCTTTCAACCAAAGTTTCTTGCCAAGATAATACATTTTGAGCAAATGCAAGCAACGAAATGGCATGCAAAATCAGCGAACTCGACGGTTAACCTCGCCCCAAAATAAATTCCGTTCGCTGTTAATCTCTCTTTATTGTCATGGGATGGAATCAAAGAGCCCAAACTTTGACGTATTCCACCTGAAGGTGGGTATCATCTTCGATCCAGGTGGGGTACCAATCACCCCGTCGATCCCAGAAATCTTTGAAGGCCTGGGGGCTTGTATTACTCCAGGGTTTCGGATAGGGACCCGTGGTTCCATCAGGGAAAAATCCGTTGGTTCCGCCCACGGCCAAGTTCACGATCAAGTAGAACTGACGGAGAAAAGCGTTCGAACTCTGTATATCTGAAATCGGGTCGGTGAAGCACTAGAGCGTAATGAGAATCTCTGAGAACCTCCTGGTCAAAAGGAGCCATTTTCGTTCCCAAAGACCACGGGCTGTCCAAGCCAGGATAATTCTCGTCAAAGGGATACAGATTCCAGAACCCGTCCTCGCCAGGCGTGACCGTCCCCAATTCCGTACCATCCAGAGTGAATTTTATGTAATCTGCCGACACATATAAACGAATATGGACCCTATCGTGCCGAACGAACGAACAAGATTGGAGAAAACTTCACCAGGAGTCCATTCGACTTTGTAAAGGTGGAAATCATCGTGGTACCCCGATCCTAGGTTCCGCTTGTAGTTGGCTACCTCGTATCCGTTCACGGGCCAGAACGGTCCGAAGTGGAGGGTTGATCCCACCTGCACGATCAACACGATCCCATGGATCGTATTCAGTTATGACAGGAACAGGATTCTAGCATGATGGATGGATGGACGGACCTGCTGGGTGCCAATCTGAACTCCTTCCATGGAAAGATCAAGGTTCCCTCGGCTCTCCACAAGATCGATCTCCCCCGATGCGGGCCACATTCCATACGCATTCTTGGCCGGCAACATCCATATCGCTATGACATCACACTCCCAATCCATTACGCTCATCCACTTTCAGAGATTAAGCCTATCCTAGTGGACTGTCGCGTCTCATGGAGAGACAAGCTCAAAGGAAGAGGAAATACACAGGCACCCCCCCCCCCCCCCCTCTGCCTCCTAATAGGATATTAGGATTCCTTCTCGCTATTATACTCCAGAACCGTACCTGGCCAAAGCCAATCTCCAGCAGGCATCTTTGCGCTGACTTCCACGGTGCCATATTTGAAGGTGAAGGAATTCACGGTTCTGATCCGGGCCGACACCGTCGGATTGATGATGTTAGTCGGATTCCCGGCCCGTTCGCAACCCCAAAATGCCGGGTTCGTGCACCTGAAGCATCGAGACACCTGCAATCAGCATATCCAACATTTTCTCCCGGCGTTGTGCATAACTGTGGGCTCACTCGTCGGCCGGACCACCGCCGTAGAGGCTCATTGTCCCAGTCCAAAGGAACTCCTCACCCTTGAGGTCGGACATCAACGTGGGTCGAATGTGCAGGATTCCATCTTCGGCGTAGCTGTTAGTACGATTGTTCCAGTACATCTGGAACTCCCAGTTCTGTCGATACACGGCACGAAATGTACCAGAAGAGTCTGAAGGCAATATAAGCCTCACGAGGTACGATATGCGATTAACGAATCGAATGAACCTGCTGAATTAAGGCGACTTTATTTTCCGTTCGCATGGAACTTAATTTTTATCGTGGAGCTGAAGGAAATAATTATCGAGGCGAAACAGAAAGAGAACTTGATCTTCAAGCACGTCGTTTTCACGGGTAACGACCGTTCTGTAGAACAGCTTTGTTCTTAGCTCTCTGAAGAGCAGGGAGAAAGAAAGAAGAGGAAAGGAGATTTCCTTAGGGGACAATTGTCGAGAGTGAGCCCTCTTCTGTATCTAAGTATCTAATCTTCAGATGCAAGATGATCAATCTGCTTTTTTTCTCCTTTCCACCATTTCAACCCAGAAAAAGCTTCTTTTCTCCCCTGTCATTCTTAACCCTGAGCGTCAATTGGAATGTAACAAGAAAAGTTCATAGAAAAGTAAAAAAAATGGAGTTCATTGTAACTGTGACTCCTCAGTTCTAACTCATCCTTCAATCAACCCTTTCAGAATTTTGAATAGGTCAGGTTCAGGAAAATAACCTTTTCAGATTCAAATGTAAATTAGCCCCTATAATTAACCTTCTCAAGTTGATGTTAGGAATGATGAGTGAGCGACAACTTTCACAAATTTCAAGTTTACAGAGAATAATACGCATCGTTATTAACTTCACAAGCTTTCCTGGACTCCCGATCATGCAAAAAGTACAAAACTTACATGACACATACGTATACGGCACTTTGACGGCAGTAAATCCGAGTGAGAAAAAAGTTAGGGGTTTATCGGATTTCCATCATTTTTTCCTGCGTTCAAAGAACTTCATATAAGCTTTTAAGCGTGCAGATTGAAATAATTTTTTATTTATAATATCTTTGTCTGCGATACTTGAAAATAAAAAAGAGTTAATGCAAGTTTCATATAGGTGAATAAATTCAGCCATCAGTTACTTCATCACATATCTTTTTCCTCACAAAATTTAGCGAGAAAAACTAGAATAACTTGAGGATTCGATTGACCAGTCCATGACTGCCATTTAAAATGCGGACACATAACAAATTGCTGACGAAAATGTTGTGCCCTTCAGACGTACCCCACCCCCGCTCATGGTGATCTCGTGCTGCCAAACCCCCATGTCCAACTTGTCAAACTCTTCGTAGAAGATGAGCTCCCCCTGTCGCGCGGCTTTCCCATTCACCGTCGTCACCCATGGATCACTCGGTCTTAGCGCCGTACCTTCATTCGGGAATTCGGAAGAAATGAGAGGAAATTCACGACTTCTTGTTTTCCATTTTCTCTATCGAACGCTCTGTAATCGAAGCAGCTTTTTACCGAGGGTGGCCACTGATAAGGCGCCAAAGACGAGGTGGAAAATTGATGTTTTCATCCTGAAAGTGAACCTTGAGCGAAAGAGAAGGAAAAGGCGATATCAGTGCCTTATGATGGTTTCTAAAACTATCACTAACGTAAGTAGACATAGAAAGGTAACAATAAGAAACGTCATATCTTATATGGAGTTTAAAGAGCAGTATCGGAGAATTTTAGCATTAGCACTAAGATTCTAGGACACAAACAGAGATCCATAAAAGTTTCAGTGTAGTGTGCATGTGAAGTATAGTTTTAAAAAAGAAAAGGTCTCTGAGTTTTGACCAATGATATTTTCGTTAACGCAAATTAGAATGAAATTGCAATTAATGAACATTTTAGCGATATTCTTCACACGCACTGACGGAAACGAAAAATAGGGACGAACGAAGCTTTCGCACTGACGAAAAGCGATGAGAACGTCAAGTCAATACACCATAGACGAAATTTACTTTTCGCCATATTTTGTCCAATCCTGCCAATGGATGGGCAGATATTTTACATTCGTCTGCATATGAAAGAGAGATATTCCAAAGGTAATATATTTTTGCAAGTGGGAATATTTTCTTGTTTTCTTATACTTTTTTTTTCAATCTGTATGGAGAAAATGGATCGGTCTTGGTCGAATAAATGTGCTCCAACCGATGGAAATCTGTCAACATTGTTTGCTGTGGCATACATTTTCCAAAATTTTTCATATCGGCTGAATTTGATGAAAAACAATTAAGATCTTTTGTGATAATACAATAAAAATGACTAAAACTCTGCTACGCTGATGAAATTAAAATCGTTGCAATTAATTCTTCAATGACGAACGTCATATGAAAACGTATGCCCTATCAATCCGACGAAAGCTAAAATAATTATGTAATCATCAATGGTTTTGACAAAGATGCAATCGCACCTAAAAGGACAGCAGCACTGACATTCAGTTCCGAAGCACGTTGAGATTTTTGAAGTCGTATACACACATGCCTTTTAGGGAGAAGTGAAGTTGAGAGAGATGGTGAACTTCCCACGTCCAATGTTTTACGCATTCAAGAAAAACTATGATCGTTTGGGAGCTCTACCTTCCCTCAGAAAGTTCTGAAGCTCTCTCGATTTTCCTTCTTACTGACATATGCCTATGCATGTGAATAACCTACATATGGTTTCCACGACAAGCAAAGTGAAAAAAGTAGCACAAGAGCTTTAATAGGGGCTGTCGTATCCCCGCAACTCCAGGATGGGTTGTGGAACAGTTATTAGTCTTGAAAGTTCCCTCTACCTACGCTAAAACAAGCTCTAAATGTATGAATTTGCCGTGCAGAACCCTTTGTTTCAATGAAGGTCTCTAAATATTCATTCAAGGGTTCTTGCTCACCAAGTAGTTCAGTGTAGTGAAGCAATTCGGCGATCGGATGGTCTCAATGGGCTGCGAAATGTTGAGAAGTGCAAACAATTTCTCAAGAGATTTACGCCGCTGCTTTCTACACGATTCCACGCATGAATGCATTCAACGATCCCCACGGAGGACGATTTGAGGAATCGATGTAATGGCGCCCTCTATACGACTACTGCTTTTCTCTGGATTGTTTTCCATCCCATTATGTTCCCTATTGCATCTCTGCCTCCCGCGTCTTGCAAGCTACATTGCTCCGAATACCGATACAGGCATTATAGCCACGTTGTAGACATCGGCATTGTTGTACACATCAATTGATGGAGAATCTGCCTTGTAATTCTTCTTAAAAAAACAAACACATCGTATATCCAGGGTTTCTTGCAGTGTGCAAATACAGGGTGTCCAAAAAAATGTATACACACTTTGATTGTTAATTACTTCTATGTTTATTTTATTAAATTAAAATGTATGATTTTATACTGAAGAAAAAATCTGAGAAAAAATTATGCATTAACGCAAGTGTTCAAAATGTCTGCCATTCTCATCCAGGCATTGTTGACATCGTCGAGAAACTGAATTGAATACATCACCTAAGATATCTGTTGATATTGCTGCACATTCTGCTTCAATAGCTTGCCGTAATTCAGCGATAGTTGTTGGTTTTGTGGCATAAACTTTATCTTTGAAGTATCCCCATGAATAAAAATTCAATCGCGTTAGGTCCGGTGAACGCGGAGGGTACTCAACACTGCCTCTTCGTCCAAACCATCTGTTTGGGAAAGTTTCCTCCACATAAGCCCTAACATCGCGATGAAAATGGGGAGGTGCCCCATCTTGTTGAAAATAAAATTCCTCCTCATCCTCAAATAGCTCACGAATGTGTGGGACGATTGATTCCTGAAGCAAGTTGAGGTACACGGCACCAGTAACAGTTGCATCAAAAAAAGAATGGTCCAATCAAACCCAAGGATGATAATCCACACCACACTGTAATGCCCGGTAAGTTCACATGTTGTTCCTCAGTAACGTGTGGATTCTCGGTTGCCCAGTACGCACAATTGTGGCGATTAATTGTACCATTCAACTTGAATGTTGCCTCATCACTCCAAACGATCTTATCGTTTGGAGTGGTGATCTTCAAACTTATCTCGAATACGCGAAATTGTGAGACGCGTTGGTGGTCCTGTGTGGTATTCACTCCTAAACTGTCTCTGGACTTCGTTGATATTTTCCGACTTCCAATACCACTTCAACACAAATTTCCGCTGCTCAAATGTAAGTCTGGTATTTTGCATTATTACAACCAAATTGCAACAGAAAAAGAAAAAAGGTTACTGAGTTATGGGCTGATAAAGTGTGTATACAAATTTTTTTGGACACCCTGTATGTTGGCCATTTCCTTCAGCCCAGATCAGCCCTCCATAATGATTTAATTTGTAATCACTTCCACAACTATTTTTCCCTGTTCATTCCACACAAAAGATCTCAATTGCAGAATTGAAGTCTTGATCATCATTGTATACGACTAGGCTCTCAATACAAGGCTACCGTTCATATGCATTAATTATTTTTGTTTATTATAAAATATAGGACTCTCAATTCTGTTAGATTAATCAACCGATTATTCGATTAAAGTTTTAATCGCAATTAAAAAAAATAGTCGAAATTAATAGAATTTTAATCGACTTCCAATCTTCACCTGAATTCCTCTTACTTCTCCAAAAAATTGACTGTGTAGTGTGGAGTCTTGCACAACAACCGAAAACGAATGCCAACAATACCTTGTCAAGGGAATGCAATGAAATGATGACTGGAAGGGGGTAGTTGTTTTCGCAATGTTCACCCTTCAGTAAAAATGACCAACTATTTTTTTTAAGGAAACGCACAAAGCAAAGCCATCATTTTCAGGATATTCCAAGAAGAAACTTCATAAGGAAATGAAAAAGAAAGTTGGAATGAAGGAACTACAAGGGAGCGCGCATAAGGAAAAGGGGATTTGGGCAAGGATCAAGTGGTAGGAGGGGCAGGAAAGACAGCTATGTAAGGACTGGGGAGTGAGAGGCGTGCGTATAATTGTGAGTGAAGACGTGTGTGAGCCCCTTAGAAGCAGGAGAGGGGTAGAGCCTGGGAGCATCGGCGACAATCTGCCCCTGGTCTCGCGTATAGTCCATCCGTTCGAATCGCGGGTCGAGAGAGATAAGCAAAGGAAGACATTAGCATGTCAGGCGGCACTAGGACCAAAGGGGAAACTCGATGATAAATGAGAGGAGAGGGGGAGTGAAGAAGGAAACCAGTGGCGGAGCTTCCACTACATTCAACCCTCTACTCCCCGAAAGTCTAAAAATACCTTTCCTCATACATTCATTGATCTCGTTCCCCCCTCAAAAAAGGGGCAGAGTCGCCCTTGGGTTCGGGGGTGGCCGATTTGATTGACGCTTCCCACTTCTCACCCTCATTAGGCCGGTGCCGCATAGATCCGACAACCCGCGATTCGAACGGATGCACTATAACAATTGAGTCCATTGAGACTCAATGCCAAGGTCCCAAAAGAGCCCATCCTGCCATCACCATCCATACAATGGCCTCTGGAAACCTCTGGGCAGGCCTGCCCTTTACTACTTCCTACTTTTTCCGCTCTTCCATCTTAGGTCGCCCGTGAATTCATAATGAATTTTCAAATCTCCGTGTAATGAAATGTCACTGTATAGGATACCTCAAGTCATTTATGTTACATTGTTGCATCCTTCCAGTATGGGTTAGCTTACTGGTAATGGGGTTCAGTGCGCTTCTTTTCTTACGTTTAATTAAATTGGCTTTCTGCAATTATCATCACTATCCTCCACATTCAACGAGAAACAGGGGATCGATTAAAAGTCAATTAATCAATCGATTAATCGATTATATGGCTGACGATTAATCTATCAATTGTTAATCGATTGACAGCCCATAATAAAATATAAATAACCACTTATTTATGTAAGGTAAAGCTCAATTTCTACTGTAAGAAGTCATTTTAAATTTTGACGATGCATTTTGCTAGAGTAAGCTTCATAATAGTTTTTATTATGAATTCAATAATGGTGCTTCCATTTGGCATCAACGGTCGAAATCAATGTCAAATACATGTACATGTATGTACATTGGCGATCATATCGCACTTGTAGGCGTATTACTTCAGATCGAATGCTACTTTGCAACCATACCTGAAATCTGCCAAAACTCTACAAACTCAAGTCAATAAGGCCAAGACCTAAAACTTTATTAGGTTTGGGCTCGGCATATCTTTTCAAGTTGTTAATGAAGGCTGCTCAGAAAGTTCTTGTAATGAACTACTTCTCGTCTTCATCGCAGACCCATAGCATGCTACAGGAGTATGGCCTCATTCTCAGAAATGTAAAATATAAAACTTCAATTATTTTCAGGCATTGCTGCTGATCGATAATCCTGCTTTCTTTCCCATGAGCTTCAGATGAAAATTCGAGATTCCCCTCATCTTCCTCGTTTTTTCCCCCTCTCACAAATTGTTAAAAGATCCTTCAGATGAAGTATATGGTGAAAAATATGTGAATATAGGTGAACGAGAGGTAACGTTTAGTAAGAGCTATAGCGCTCTGAGGTGGGACACGTTCTTCATGCGGGTTGCGGAGAAAAAAAGCGCCGCTGTTTGAAAATATATATCAGGAAATTGGTCAAAACTATACTAATGTATATTTCAGGATTTAGGCATCAATGTCTGGTCTTCTATATAAAAATTTGCAGAAAATTCCTCCATCTGGTTCAGCTGCAGAAGTATTTAAAAGTTGCAAGTAAGTTTTTTTTAAATCCCCGCTCGTTGTTAGCCTCACACGGAAGGGCAGCCTGTAGGGGAAGGTGGTATAAAATGGGATACTCAGGTAAAATGGGACACCGAGGTTTCAGTGACTGCATTGATGCCATCAATCTGCAGTGAGTGCATGATTAGCAGGCATAATCACAGATCATTTGCATATGACGGCCTTCATTGGAAGCGAAACGCCAGTGGATCAGGGGAAAAAATTTTTTTTGTATGGTCCTCTATAAATAATGATCAACAAATGTAGTGTTCATGTCTGTAAAAAAATAAAAAAGAAGTTTAAAATGACTTATATATTAGGGATCCTAATGAAGTTGCTGCTTGTCATCATAGTGTTTTTTTTTGGCACAGTCACTTAGTTTCGTTTTTGTCTCTGTTTCAACATGGAGGCATGATGCTGGGAAAAACGGGATAGCTCTCATGTGGGTGAAATGGGACATATCCCATTTTACCCTTACAAGGAAAATAGTTTTGCAGCGTTATGATTATGAGATATAACATACTTCACCTCAACTTCCACCCTGTTGAGTAGATAACCATCAAAACTGATGAACGTTTTCTTAACTATTCCAGATTTATAGCCAAGAATGCCTTCAAATGATAAGCTCAAAACAAACCGGCAGTCATGGAGAGAAGATACCACGATGAAAGCTATTGATACGATTTCCAAATGAGAATGTGCATTAAAAACAGCTGTCAAAACTTATAGAATGCCCAAATCAACAATGGAAAGGCGAGTGAAAGGAAAGAACAAACATGCAGTTGGAAGTTCAAAGACCGGGAAGTAGACTGCCAACTTTCCTCGTTGAATTAGAGCAGCAACTTAACTATATTAAAAACTATATATATATAGTTTTTAAAAACTATGTATTAGTATGCTTTTTGAACTAAGGACTTCTGGTGCTCGTAATCTTGCCTACCAACTTGCTGAAAAAACTGCATATTTTTGCAAGCTGATTGTATCCCATTTTACCTCAATGGTGTATCCCATTTTATCCAACATAGTCAGGGTAAAATGGGAAACTGCCCCAGTTTTGGGGAGAAAATATTTTAGCCCCTTAATATTAATCTTTTCTGGAATGCTTTTATTTTATACGAGCCAGATGCATTTTCAACCTATATGACAATTTTCGAAACGTAAGATGCAATTTCCAGGCCTAAAGGTTCTTCCAAACCTTAGGTATTACCCCACTTTCCCCTACATTTGATTGCTCTCGCTTCGATTTGTCCATCATGTCAGCTGTGATCATGTAGCTGTCTTAGGCAGACAGTATTGAAG